AAACAAAAAACAAAACAAACAACTTAAAACAAAACGTAGGAAAGTTAATTTGTGAATGCTGAAGAGTAAAGTTTTTCGGAATCCTTTGTTTGTTTCTTCACGATTCACAGCAGCCAGAAAAGAAATGAAAACAGTTTCTAATTTTCACAAATATCTTGTTCTTAGGAACCAGAATTACAAAGACTTAGCGCTCTCTAGCGAATTCAGAAATAAATAAATTCAATAAATAATGGCTGTCAATTTGTATATCATAAAGGTGAACATTTTCTGTTTTGCTTGATTGTCATTTGTCAATGAAAAAATAAAACTATTTTTAGCAGTTCTACAAATATATAATATAATGTTACTACAAATTGTAACGAATATATATGACAAAACTAAGATAATCATATTCTTCAATTCAAATTTTGACTCAAATTTTTATAAGAGCAGATATTGATTACCATAATTAAAAGTTATTCATCCTTTGTTTGTAATTAAGCACAAGGCTACACGATGGGCTTTCTGTGCTCTGCCCATCACGGGTATCGAAACTCAGATTCTAGCGTTGTAAGTCCGCAGACAATGGGGGGCAAGTTATTCATTCTGACCTTTCATAATATACAAACAATTATAAAGTAGTTTTCGTTATCTTTAGTCAACACTCGTCTTTTTTTTGGCAGAAGTTGCCCGTAAGTATTAATGTAAGTGTATAGTAACACAGTTCTCACGATAGAACAAAACCAATTGTATCTTGATGTAATCGATGAGTGTTCACCGTTGTAAATAACTTTGTTCACTTTTCACAACCACGTAGCGAAATCTTTAGCTAACTAAAAGTTACTTCTACATACTTTGTATAATCTTATAACGGAAAGCTTGACCTTGTTAAACTTAGTATTTAACTAAACCTTATATAAAAATAAACACCAACGATCGTTCCCATGGAAGCTGCAATCTTGTCTTCGAACAGGAATATTATCCTGCATAAACAAAACAATAGTTAAAGGGTAAACTGTTACTACGTCACAATACAACCATATTTCATTGGTCACACAAATGCCAGAAGGTGGCATTCTTCAGAGTTTAGACAAAATTCGGTGGTAGCTGAATGATTCTTTGTCATAAGTATAATTAAACTGGGCAGAATATACACGTATTTTGGACACACATTAGCAGGATAAAGGTCAGTTAGCCATTTTACTTTTGTCTTTAGCTTTCAGTAGTCTGTCTAGTATATTAGTTGCGGTTGAACCTGAAATTGTGAACATGTGAAAGTTTCAAATTTAGTACGGATATTTCTTTATTTGTTTTGCGTTAAGCACCAAGCTATAAATGGACTATCTGTGCTTTGTCCGCGAAGGGGAATCGGAACCCAATTTTTAGCGTTATAAGCCCTGAGACTTACCTCTGAGCTATCGGTGTGTGTGTGCGTGTGCATATTTCTTGAAAATGTTAATTTAAAAACCCGAAAGAAAACGCCAAAAAGACACCAGTTTCATGCCAGTGTTTTCACCAATCGACTGTTTTATAACTATTAAGCTTTATTAGGTAAACAGTCGATTGTTTTATTAAGATTTATTAGGTAGAATGAAGTATAAAAATGTTATTAGTTTTTTTCCATTTTAGCAGTCGGAAAGTGAGCAGTTATGGCTAGAGCTCCATAATGTGTGTTTGTTTGTTGAATTTCGCGATTAGTTTTGCCATTTTAGCAGTCGGAAAGCGGACAGTTATGGCTAAAGCTCCATAATGTGTGTTTGTTTGTTGAATTTCGCGATTAGTTTTGCCATTTTAGCAGTCGGAAGGTGGACAGTTATGGCTAGAACTCCATAATGCGTGTTTGTTTGTTGAATTTCGCGATTAGTTTTTGCCATTTTAGCAGTCGGAAAGTGGACAGTTATGGCTAGAACTCCATAATGTGTGTTTGTTTGTTGAATTTCGCGCAAAGCTACACGAGGGTTATATGCACTAACCGTTTCTCATTTTGTAGTGACAGACAAAAGAGAAACCAGTTAGTCAATACCACCTGCCGCCAATTCTTGGGCTACTCTTTTATTAACGAATAGTGAGATTGATCGTTAAGTTATAACGCTTCCACGGCTAAAAGGTGAGCATGTTGGGTGACGAGATTCGAATCTTGGATGTTGCAAGTCGAGTGCCCTAACTTCAAGACCATGCTAGGCCACCTCATAAAGAGGCATTTATTTGAAAACTATTAGGAAAGTGAAAGCGAGAAGAGAAAAAATTAAACGCATGTTGTTGTTGTTTTTCGAGAAATGAAAATTAAACGCATGTTGTTGTTTTTCGAGAAATGAAAATGAAACGCATGTTGTTGTTTTTCGAGAAATGAAAATGAAACGCATGTTGTTGTTTTTCGAGAAATGAAAATTAAACGCATGCTGTTGTTTTTCGAGAAATGAAAATGAAACGCATGTTGTTGTTGTTTTTCGAGAAATGAAAATGAAACGCATGTTGTTGTTTTTCTGTTTTCAAAAAGATTTATTCACATTATAAAAGATGGCAATACTCGGTATGGAAAGTACGGTGTGTTTTATGGTTATTTGTTTTAAACGATATGTCATCAGTCCCATTCTTGTAGGACTGAGATACAGAGGTTGAGTCCGTTATAATAACTAAAACAATCTTGGAGCATCACAACGTCATTACAGTCAATGTCGCCACGTACGCTCATGTTATATCTGACGACCTTACACCTTGACAATAGCCCTGCAGCGTAGTTTCCACTGCAAAGGACTCATCGTAAGACTGTTATGTCTAAAACAGACTTCTCTTCCCCAATGTTTTCCATAATCAATCTAGTAGACGAGTACGGCATCTACCCAGTGCCCGTATCATACGAGATTCTCTAATTTACTGCCGTTAAATGTTTCATAATTGGTATATTAATATAAGAAAATACAAATTTGTGTTGGATATAAAGTGTTACCGTACGAGATCCACTCTTGTACCGCTAGTCTGTTTTACAATGTTGAATAATTTAATATAAGACTAATAAAGTTTCGTTGTGTCTGAAGCGTTACCGTACGAGATCCACTCTTGTACCGCTAGTCTGTTTTATAGTGTTAAATAATTTAATATAAGACTAATAAAGTTTCGTTGTGTCTGAAGCGTTACCGTACGAGATCCACTCTTGTACAGCTGGCCTGTTTTACAATGTTGAATAATATTTGTCCTTATTTTTACAGGATCCTGTCTACCGAAGACTAAGGTAAAGTGATAACAGTTATTTACAATCCGACATCCAGTTGTTATCCAAACTTTGTGATTCCAAATAGAGACGTAAAGAAGATAACTCGTGTAACCAGAACTTCATCATGGATAAACTTCTCACTAATTCTCTTTTGAAGTTGAAGATAAACACTGTTAATACAGACAACCACATTTTCCGACTTCACTACAAACTGATGACAGTTGTACTTCTGGCATTTAGTGTTTGCGTCACTGCTTATCAGTTTTTCGGACAACCTATTTACTGTATCCAAAAAGATGACATTCCTGAAAGGCTTGTGAATACCTACTGCTGGATAGAAGGTACTTTTACAGTTCCCAAATCACTGAACAAGAAAACAGACCGAGATGATGGGTATCCTGGTGTTGAACAGGCAGAACCAGACGACACGATTGTAGAACATGCGTACTATCAATGGGTTTGTTTTTTTCTTTTCTTTCAGGCTATTTTGTTTTACATACCACGTTTTATATGGAGAATTTGGGAAGGTGGGAGAATCAAGAAGCTTTGTTTAGATCTGAAGAATCCTGTTCTGAAGAAAGAAGAAAGCGAAACGAAACGAGATATGCTGGTAGACTACTTTGTTAAGACAAGGGACAACCACGGATCGTACGCGTATCGTCACTTTTTGTGTGAGATCCTTAATTTCGCAAACACTGTCGGCCAGATGTTCTTAATCGACTTATTTCTGGGTCACGAATTCACTAATTATGGTCCAGAAGTAGTAAAGTTTACTATGACTGACCAGGAGGAACGATTGGACCCCATGATTAGAGTGTTTCCTCGAATGACAAAGTGTAGGTTTCATAAGTTCGGCTCTTCCGGGAACGTCCAGACACACGATGCTCTTTGTCTTCTTCCTCTAAACATCGTAAATGAAAAAATCTTTGTTGTCTTATGGTTTTGCTTTGTCATTCTGGCTATTTTGACAGGCTTGAACCTTATCTATCGTGTGATTTGTATAATGTCTTCTGGAGCCAGATATATGATGATTTGTTCCCTGAACAGCTTCTCTTCAAAAAAAGAGATTGAAGATATGCTGAAGAAATTAACTTTCGGCAACTATTTCGTCCTCCAGCTCCTCTTCGTCAACGTCGATCCCGTTCATATGAAAGAAATAATGACCAAGCTAGGGCCAAAGTTCTACTGAATGGTATTTAGGCTTAGTTGTTTAAACTTGAAAAATAGCTTATCGTCAATCATTATTATTTACTTAGAGAATAGTTTGAAAGCGTTTAACTGGAACTTATATATCATTTAATAAAACATGGTTTGTAGGTAAACTTCTAGTACATTACATTGAATATATGTCTTGTGAATCCGGAGTCCTAGACATGAATAATTTACCACACACTATGGCAGCTGTGGTGCGCTACTTTCTCTCTCAACTACATCTAAGTCGTTTAGTTCGACGTCGCGAAATCGTCCTCAAATTCTGTTGGAAGTGAGTATCCGCTAGTAGGACACCGGGTGAGCATGTTTGGGTGTGACGGGGATTCGAACCCGCGACCCTAACCACCTCGCCATACCGGGCTTCGAATAAGTAAGAACATTTCGACAGGGACTAAATCTACGTCTTCGGAAACTGGCTAACTGCTCTCATATTTTCATCTCCCGGATTTTGAATGACCATGAGTTCGAAGGTTTGTAAGGATGGTGAACTCGTTTTCATCGCATTTTTCGTGTAATTAAGAAATACGAACAATATACGATTATTCCTATAAAAGCGATAAACTAAAACATATTTTAGTTTATATAACTGAACTTTACATGCTTCTTGATTTAAGATACAAAAGCAATATAAAAGTAAGAGCCACAAAAAAAATGGTAGTCAATCCTACATTGATGACAAAGTTAAAAAAGTGTGAGAAACACCATACGAAAATACTTATCTTGATAAAAGAGTCAGCACAAAGGATGACATATAAAGTGTAATAAACTTAAAACTTATACGAAACTACTACTTACTCGAAACGAAATAAAACAAAGAGTTATACCTCAAATCAATGAGTTTAATTCAGTTGCCTGTAGTAAGTACTTCTATAGTACATTGTAAAAATAGAAATTGTACAAAATGGGAATTTTTATCTAGATTATCTTTTTTTAGAAGGAGTTTAGACTTTTCTTTGTTTGGATAGCGTTAGGTTTACAACGCTAAAATCAGGAGTTCATTTCCCCGCGGTGGTTCACCCGTTGGAACAGTGGCATGTCTACGGATTTACAACGCTAAAATCATGGGTTCGATTCCCATCGGTGGTTCACCCGTAGGGACAGTGGCATGTCTACGGATTTACAACGCTAAAATCAGGGGTTCGATTCCCATCGGTGGTTCACCCGTAGGGACAGTGGTAAGTCTACGGATTTACAACGCTAAAATCAGGGATTCGATTCCCATCGGTGGTTCACCCGTAGGGACAGTGGTAAGTCTACGGATTTACAACGCTAAAATCAGGGATTCGATTCCCATCGGTGGTT